GCGGGATGCCCCCGCCCGCCGCCCGCCCCATTCCCGGCTCCAAGGCGCCGCCGAGGACAAGGAGCCGCTTGAGCCGCCCCGGCTTCACACGGAGCCGCCGCGCTCCGGGCCGGGATAATTACGGGCCCGGTCGGCGCCGCTCGCGGCGGGAGGCGCTGCCGGCCCCGGCCCCGGGCCGAGCGGGCAATGATTAACCGGAGCGCCCGCCCCGTCGCAGCCTTCCCGCCGGAGCAGCCCCCCGGCACGGCCCCAGCGCGGCGCCCGAGCCAGAGCCGCTGCCGGCAACACCTTTATTGAAGCAAACGGGGGCTGCGGGCGCCCGCAAACAAAAAGAGGCCGGGGGGGAAGGGAAATAAAGGTTTTCCAACCGATTTTGCTTTAAAAGCGAGCGGAGCAGGAGCCTGGGCTCAGGCGCTCGCCAAGGTCTCAATTCCAGGTTTTTCAACTCATTTCTACCCCAGAGCACGACAAGAGAGCAGCAGCCCTCGAGGACGGAGCTGCTGGGGGTGGCCATGGTCTCCAGCAAGCAGCTGAGACAAGCAAAAATAAATAATAAACATAATAATAATAACTAAAAAAAAAGAAAAACAGAAGTCTTCTCCTCATAAACCTGGTGCCTCTAAGCACGTGACAAACGGTGAAGCGGCTCTGTGAAACGAGAGCTCAGCAAAAGGAAAGGAAAACCGGAATGTGGCAAGGGAGGAGGCCGGAGCAGCGCGCGGAGAAGGACGTGCCCGGGGAAGGGCCGGCCGGGAACGGGGGAGCGCAGAGCGCCGGGCTGGAGGCCGAGCGCGGGCTCCCGGCGGCTATAGGAAGAAGAGCTTGTCGCAGAGCGGGCTGGCGGGCTCGTGGTGCAGCACCTGGCCCGAGAGGAAGGCCAGCTTGTGCGCGTACTTGCAGGGCGCGGGCGCGCGGATGGTGCCCGGCCAGTTCCAGTACATGTGGCACAGCTTGAACGTGAGCCTGGGGGCGAGAGCGGGGCGGTGGGCACTGCCGCGCGGGCGGCTCCTTCCCGCGGGGATGCTCATGCCCAACACGTGGATGCTCGTGCCCAGCTCCGCTGCTCTTAGTGCCCAGGGCCACCTCGGAGGGATGGGATCTGCCTCCCTCCTTCCCGCTCCCATCCTCCCGCTGAATCCAGCCCCCTAAGAGAAGCATCTGGGCGCCCCCGCTTCCCGTCACCCACCCGCTTGCAAGGACAGCGGGCGCAGGGGGGCCGGCCGGCCCGCTCTCACCTCTGCAGGTGCTCGGAGCTGAGGCTGGCCGTGTTCAGCACGCAGATGTAGCGCGTGGGGACGCTGCAGCCCTGGCGGGAGCTATGGGCCAGCAGGAAGAAATCCTCCCTGCGAGGGGGAAAACGGGACGGGGTGGAGGAGCCGGGCGAGCGCGGCCCCGCGCACCCCGCGCCGCCGCTCACCACTCCGAGCTGGTCACCGTGTGGTCGACGACCGTGCCCGGCGGCGGCGACACCAAGTTCTCCGCGGCGCTCGTGTAGAAGTTGGTGCTGATCTGCTTCTGCACCACCACGACCGCCATGCTGGGCTGGTAGTCGGCGAAGGTCTCGAAGCACTTGAGCAGCTGCGGGATCTCGTACTTGACCACCGTGTCGAGCTGCGTGTCCGACACGCCGTCCCGGTAGATGACGATCTTCTTGGGCAGGCAGTGGTTCACCTAGGGGTGCAAATGTTGGTGGTGTCCCTAGAGCTGGCAGAGCGGCTCGGGGGGACACAGGGAGGGGCACAAGGTGGCCGCAGCAGCTCGTCCTGCCTCCTCTCCGGAGCGTTTCGCCCGGGATGCCAACACAGCCAGGGCCCTGATCGCAGCTGCACTGCGAGCAATGCGTGTCTGCAGCGGGGCCGAGCACTCCTGGCACTGAAGCAAACGCATTTCCACACAGCTCTGCCCTAGCTCTGCCCGCGGGAGACCCGTCGTGGCAAACGCCGCTCCCCGGGTGCTCCCTGGCACACGCACGGGAGCTCCCCGCCACGCAGGGAACGAGCTTGGCGGCCCGGCCCAAGCAGCGCAGCGCGGCGGCACCACCACAAACTGCTTGGCGAGCGGCGTCCCGAGATAAGAGCGCGCCGCCGGGCTCGCTGCCTCTGCGCCCGTCCAAAGTCTGCCGGGCTATTTACCCGCTCGCACGAGCTCTGCAGCGCAGGGCGCCCCGCTCCTCGCCTCACCTCGTGGAAGCGCTGCAGGGCATCGGCCAGGCAGAGGCGCAGGCTGTCGGCGATCTCCTGGTGCGGCATCTGGAACACCACCCTCGAGTACCACTTGGTGAGCACCCTGGGGCAGGGAGAGGCGCCCGTGAGCGCCCCGAGCGCGCGGCGCCCAGCACGCTTCCCGCGCCGCGGGCCACGTACTGGTTGGTGCTGGCGACGAAGCCGATGACGGAGCGCATGGCGCGGCTGTGGTTGTGGTACACGTCCATGCCGACCACCATGAGGTGCTTCTGCAAAGGGACGCGGGGCTGGGGACAGGCGCCAGCGCAGAGCCGGGCTCCTGCCCCGTGCGGAGCGCTGCATCCCAGGGATGCCCATGGCCACCTTGGCCACCACAGCAGCCCTGCACCCTCCCTTCCCTGCCGCTGCTTTCAGGGACAGAGCCGACGTCCCCCTGCCCCGGGGCAGGCCGGGGAGCAGCCGGGAGGGAGGCCGAGCGAGGCTGCAGCCCGGGAGGCTCTCCCCGCCTTACCAAGGGCACGTCGATGCCCCACAGCTCCCCGCCCAGCTTGCAGTTCATCTGCAGCAGGACCTTCTGCGCCACGCTGCGCAGCTTGCTGGCCTGGCCCATGAGCGACTGCGTGTTGATGACCTGCGCCGAGGACGAGGAGGAGGATGAGGAGGAGGCCGGAGCCGCCCCCGCTGCGGCCACGCCGCTCCTGCTCACCTGCGAGGGCACGGGCGCCTGCACGCAGCACAGCTTCTTGATGGCCCCGTACAGGTCCTCGCGGCCGCCCGGCGTGATGCACAGCACCAGCTGCACCTTCTGCTGCACGGCGGGCAGGAGGGCACGTGCAGGGCCGGCCCCTCCGCGCCGCGGTCCCAAGCGGGACGCGCGGGGCCCCGGGGCGCTGCGCCCGCCCTTACCTCGCTGGCCAACACGCTGCGCATGGTCTTGGCGTAGGTCTCCACGCGGTCGTCCTTGAGCTCCACCCAGGCGGGCGGGTTGAGCTGCATGCCCAGGGGCCCGCACACCTTCTCCATGGTGGCCACCAGCTCCCTGGCCAGCTCCTGCAGGCGCTTCGGGTAGAAGAGCACCCAGTAATGCAGGGCGACCTGGCGGGGGGACAGGGCAGCGTCACGAGCCACCGTGGTGCCCCGCGAGCCCACAACCCTGCAGAGCGGGGAATGCACAAGAAGGGAAGCAGCCCCAGGGACGCGCACCATTCAACTCCTCCATCCCCACGCGACCAGCACCCCGCAGCCCGTGCAGACGGGGGATGCAGACACTGCAGCCACATCCCTGCTGCAGGAAAGAGCCCCAAGCACAAGGCTGAGCCAAAGCGAGGGCTCCGCTTACAGCTCTCCCAAGGAGAGCGGCCAGGGCACCGGCACTGCGGAAGCCGGTGGCAGCTTGCCCGAATGCTGCTGGTGCTGCCAGGGGGCTCACCGCGGAGATGCAGGCCTCCCGCACCACCTCCTTGTTCCAGCTGAGGTCGTCGGCGGGCGCGAAGGTGCTGTGCCGCAGGTTGATCCTCTCCATGGGCAGCACGCGGCCCTGCGTCTGCGTGGAGCCGAGGTCAAAGCGGTGCCGGGCCAAAGCCGGGGGGCCCCGTCCCGATGCGGGGGGTCGGGGTGCACCGTGGGGGCCCCTCACCCTGCAGATGTCCTTGTCCAGGCGGAGGCCCCAGCGCGTGAGCTCCCGCGCGGCCTCCGGCGTCTCCTCCACGCGCCGCAGGAGGCTGCACAGGCGCAGGTAGTGCTGCTTGGGGCTGTGCGACATCTCGTACATGAGGTCCTGCGGGCAGGCAGGCACTCGGGGACACCGCGGCAAAACCCCGCGCGGGAACACCCGCCTCTCCGCGGGCTGAGCGTGGCCGCAGGGTGTGAGCACGCGCTGACCTTCATCGCGCGGTTGTCCTTCCTCATCTTCTCCGGGATCCCGGTCATGAAGGAGAGCTCCGGCACGAGCAGGATCATGTTGAGCTGGTGCTGCGGGGCAAGGGAGGCCAGTGCCACAGGGAGGGGACGCGGGGACACAGGCTGCGCTGCCGCGGCCCTCGCTCACCTTCCCCTCCTGCGTCAGGCTCTCCTTGCGCCTATGGATGAGCAGCGGCTGGTCCAGCTCCCTCACCGTGATCCCATACGTTTTGCTGGAATTAAACAGCACAGAGGTGAAGCGACGAGTCCCCAGGGAGCACGTGCAGCTCGGCAGCCCGGGGAAAGGCTGCGGGGAGCCGGGCCAGGCGCCGTCCCGCTCTGCCGCTACCTGTAGTAGTCCACGAAGGAGATCTCCTCGCCGCTGGCCAGGGTGAAGGTGTCCTTGGGGGTCTTGTTCCAGTCGATGTCGTCGATCTGGTACGTGTGGTTGTTGTAGCGCGTGATGACCACGCTGCCCACCAGCTGCTTGGTGCACTCGTCCTGGAAGCTGCTGGCGCTCTGCTGGTAGATGGCGTGCCTGCGCCCGGCAGCGCGGCCGCTGGGGCTGCCTGCGGCACCGGGACCCCCCGCAGCGCCGCCCCCGGCCCCGCGGGGCTCCCCCCTCTCACATGAAGTTGAGCACGGAGTCGCTCCGGATCACTTTGTGCACCACATCGACGGAGAGCAGGAGGCCGCCGTCCCTCCTGCGGATGCTCACGGCGTAGCCGGGCCACACCTGGAGCCTGGGCGCCGGGAAGCGCACCCGGAGCGCGCCTGAGCGCCCGGGCGGCATCTCCCCACGGGCGCCCGGCGGCGCTGCCGGACCCACCTGTAATGCTGCAGCACGGCCGCCTTGGTGGGGTCAAAGAAGTTCCTGCCGACCAGCTTCATATCCAGGATCCTCATCACCCTGGGAAGGAGAGGGCAGGACGGCGGCGCTCCCGGCGCGGCGCGGGGAGCGCGCCCGGCCCGCGCTCACCTGCGGAACACCACGTTGTAGAAGGGCACGCACAGGTCGGAGCTGGGCTCCAGCACCTTGGTGAGCTGGATGCTGATGCTGATGTCCTGCCCGTCCGTCCTCCGGCGGGAGCTCAGCGCCACCGGCTGCGGGGCGGCGGCGGCGGCTCAGGGCGGGCCGCGGCGGCAGCGCCCGCGCCGCGTCCCCCGGGACGCACCCACCTGCGGCAGCCGCACGGGCAGGTAGAGGATGGCGCCGTCGAAGGCGGTGACGTCCCCCGTCACGGCCTGGTGCTCCTTCAGCATGGCGAGCCGCATGCTCTTGCACTCCACGCAGGGGCTGCGGGCGGCAGCTGCGGCACCCGAGGGAGCCCGCCGGCCCCGCCGCGCCGGGGGTCCCCGGGGGTCCCCGCGTGCCCACCTGAAGGCCACGTGGTACTGGTAGACGGCCTCGTTCTGGCAGTGGATCTTGACCACGTTGAGGCCGAGGGGCAGAGCGGTGCCCTTCGGCGGCGGCCGCGGCGCCCTGCGGGGACACGCGCGTGGCGGCGGCGCCGGCGCCGCGGGGGGGTACGGGGGGGTACGGGGGGGGGCACTTACCGCCTGCCAGCGCCCGGGGGGGCGGCGGGCACCGAGGGCTGCAGCGGCGGCGGCTCCAGCGCGGGCACCGCTCCGGGCCCGGCACGCAGCGACCTGCACGGATGGAGCGCGGATAAGCGCGTGGCTCCGGCACCGCTCTGCATGGGAGCGTCCAGCTCCAGCACCCGCTCCGGCACCGGCTCCGCACGGGAGCGTCCAGCTCCGACACCGGCTCCGGCACCGGCTCCGCACGGGAGCGTCCAGCTCCGACACCGGCTCCGG